AGACAACGTAAATATACACACACACACACACACACACACACAAATACACATCAATCATATTTTATTTCATTATTATGGTTTCAAAATAGTAAGTAGATATAAGTTACGATCACTGGGTTGTAGTTTTTTTTTTTTTCTTTTCTTGTTATTATTATTGTTTAGCTTTTCCTTAGTATTGTTAGCTCGATGGACGCAAAAAAAAAAAAAAAAAACTCCTACATAGTTCTTCTTAAGATTTTTTTTCAGACAGAATTCTACCCGGGTAATAGTTTTTTCTTTTTTTGTTGAGGGGAAAGGGAGAAATTTAGTAGAATGGAGGAAGCCGTAAATGTAAGGTAACAGGCGTACTTAAAAAACCTATGCCGTTGCCTCTGTGCATTGTTTTTTATTCCTTTTTTCTTTTTTGCTTCTTTGAAAAAACTTTTCCGATTTTTTTTTCTTTCCTTTTTTTTTTTTCTTGCCAAATTATTCGGTTTGTTGTCTGAAAACTGATGAAAATGGCAGGTGGTGGCTCTTATGTGCTAAAAAAGGTGTGAATTAAAGTTGGGTAAAAATGAAAGTCATCATCATCGTCGTCTTCTGAATCAAAATTCGCCAAAATTTTGTAGCCGCCTGTAGTAGTGTTCCAGTTGGCAGTTAATAGTTTTGATCATCATGGCAATGCTTTCGAATCAACTAGTTAGCCAAAATATTTTAGCAAGTATTATTTATCACCACTGTTAGCAAATTTCGTTAGTCTGTCGTCTTATCCGTCTTAAATTATGTCTTTTACTGTCTTATAGCCGCTTTAATGATATTATCGCTAAACATCAAAGGTGATATTGTCTGTGTGCAAAAATTTTTTGTTACTGGATAAGGTATTTTTGAAGAAATAAATGAGGGGAAAGGATATTCAATGTGATTAGCTGTATCAATCGTGTATCGGCTTTGTTTTCCTCTTAGCAAATTTGTTGACAACATTATTAATTTTTATGCAGCTTTCCTTGGCTATACTATATATCTAAAAATGGAGAATATTAACTTTTTAAGGATCCTTAATACCGATAAACAGATTTCCGAGGTTTGTTTTTGCTGATAGGTGTGCTTTATAGTTGTGATTTACTTCTTTTCAACCATTGTTTTGATAAACAAATTATAAACGCTTTTTTATGGATATTTTTTTTTTATTTTATTCAATGGAAAAAAAAAAACCATTTTTTTTATTTGATTATCCAATGATATTTCTGTATATTACAATCATTTCATTGCTGTTGTATCATCTGTTATCATATATTCACAGGTGGCACTGTCTATGTGTAAGAAATTTTTTTATTAGAGACGGGATGCTTAGCAGCAATTTTTCTTCTAAATCAGTGATCATAAGCTTAAACTTTTCAGTTTCCGACACACACTTAAAGATCAAAGACACTGTTAAGCGAAATGTCGCCGGCGATAAAACACGTCAGTTATCATTTATCCGTTAACATATTTCAGATTTATGATTTTTGACCCCCAGAAAAAAAGATGAAGAAAAAAGAAATTATCTGCTGGTGTTTAATGTAAAATTGTTGACTGTAAATCAACAAAAAATTACTTTTGAATTAAATACGGTTAGGAAAATCTTTCGTTTTCTTTATGAAACATTATTGTGATAGCCACGAGTGATTCAACAATTATCCTTTTCTCTTTTCTAGACATTTGAAATTCCTGAACTGCATCTGCGTGGTCATTATACACCAATTGTTCACCTTTCTCT